CTCTTCTCTCTCTCTCTCTCTCTCTCTCTCTCTCTCTCTCTCTCTCACCACCTCTCTACTCTACAAAGAATACACTCTCTCTCTTCTCTCTCTCTCTCTCTCTCTCTCTCTCTCTCTCTCTCTCTCTGCAACTTTTTTGCAACCCTAAAACGTCAACACCTTTGTCCCTGCTATCAGATCATGCGACCTTCCCCTCTCTCTGACAAAAAGCCCGCAATGTGAATGAATGCCCTTTCTGGTGCCAACCCCCCCCTCCTCTCTCTCTAACTCTCAATCATTTTCTCTCTCCAGAGCTTGAGTCCCTGTGTGGAAGGAGGGCGTCGGGGTCGGAGTCAGTTGTTGATTCGGCTCCCCCACCTCTTTTTTTTTATTATTATTATATTATATTATTTATGACCCCTTCTCTCTCTAACTGCACCCCATCCCTCTTCTTTTTCTCTCTAACGAAACCACCTCTCTTCTTTCTCTCTCCAACGACACCACCTCTCTCTTCTTTCTCTCTCTAACGACACCACCTCTCCTTCTTTCTCTCTATCTAAGTCCACCCTTTATTGCTAGTATAAATTATTTTTTTAAATAAATAAATGTGAGTTCAAAACATGCAATGATAGAAAGTTTGGAAAGGAGAAATTTACAGTGATTTATAATTTATATGGAAAATAAAATATCAAAACTCATTATCCAACACAGTAGCTTTAACTTTCACATCCTTTATCAATTTCTTGCAATTTGCCTACCTTTTTTTTTAATTAGAGATATTTTTAAGTAAATGAAATTTCTTGTTAAATTTTAGTTGTTGATTTTGATTTTGATTACATATATGTTATTATCGAGAAATATTTTTAGAAAAAGTATACAATGAAACTATTTATTTTTGGTATAAGATGGTCACAATTAATCTTGATTATTGGATGTAAAATTAGATGGTGCCATTTATTTCATCGAGTTCATACTTCAAAGGAATTTTCTCCAACTTTGTAACTCATCAAAACCATTAGATTTCGTCTCAAATAGTTGTAAGTAATTGTGATTTTTTTGTATCAAAAATAATGATCTCATATATAATCACATATTTTTGTTGTGATAATAAATTATTATCAATGATACAATTTATCTTGATACAATATATATTTAGTTTATTAGAGATAATTGTCACTAAGACTTGATAACTCTCATCGTTTGCCTAATAATTTCTTTTTAAAATATGGATAATACAAGTGTAGGCTACCAATTGTTTGGGGGGAAAGGATTCGGTAGTCCTATAGTATTAGACTGCTAGGTTGTACATCCATTTCCATGGGTAAAAACCAACGCAGAAGAGTTCGTTGGATCCATCGTTAAGGTTTTCGATGGGTAGGAATAGGTCCGAGTCAACCTTGCCAAACCTATCCGACTAGGTCCTAGTTGGACCAAGGCCCAATACAAAATGGGTCCATACTTAGGTTAGTTCAGGCTCAGATCTATATAAAACAAATTAAATTTTATTAAAAAATTGTATCATCGTCATTAGAGTTTTTTCCGAACTAATTAAGGTTAGCTGCACAAGTTTTGGTCTGCGACTTTACTCTATCAAAAGTCATACCTCAATAAGATTATTAGTCCATGTATATTTTCTCTCTACTTCTAACCATATCCTTTTAGACTCACCCTTTGTCTTTTTTTAACCTTCCACTTGAATTAACTTGAAACCTCCTAACGACTGACGTAGTATTAAGCTAGCCTACCGAAGTCTACTTTCTCGCATCCTATCGCCAATTGACGCGACACCTAAATTCTCTCAAATGTATTAGTTTCAAATTCTATCCCTTCATGTCATGCCACTCATCCATCTTAAGTTTACTTAATCTATGGGTATGTTGTTTATTGACTATTCAACATTCTACCCCATAAAGCAAAGTTGGTCTCATAACTGTCATATATATTAAAATTTGAAGGTACACCAATATGATAATATTCAAGATAGACCTACCCCGACCTAACCCAGGATGGGTCCAAATCATTTGGACCTAAAATCGGCCCACCAGTTCTAATATTTGGGTCTATACCTAGACTCATAGTAGGTCGACCCAACCTAATTGCTAACCCTACCAATCATTAATATCATATATATTGATAAGAATATGGTGAAAGCCAAAAATCGCAACCTCAAAATGGTCTTAGTAATGGTTAGATTAACTCCATATCAATTTTTGTTTCAAAATTTGTCAGTGATAATAACTTGCAAAACTTATAATTAAAAAATCCTCTTATGTTAATCCCAAGAATGAGTGTGCAATCTTGGATGCAGTTGGCATACGGATGCATCTTAAGCTATAGAGGTAAGGTGCACCTTCAAATTTTACTATGGTATATAATTTTGATGTAAAATGTTCTTAGGATTATCTTAAAATCTATTTTTATATTTAATTATAAAATTTAAATTTTCAAAAATGGTTAAAATCAAGTAGATCTATAAACATATGAAAATCTTGAAAATGGATGGTGTAGATAATATGTTGTAAAATGCATTATTTCAGAGACTTAAAATCTTTTTATTTTTCATGATCATAGATCTCGATGTCGAGATGATCAATCAAAGGGTTTTTCAACATTAACACTACCGTTTTCGATAGATTTTTGAGGTGCGTCCGTAGTTCTACATTATAAGGTTGCGTCCTCGTATCAACTTTTTCCATCAATCTTTGACATGAGTTTATTTAAAGGTTTTTGGGTTATACTATTCCTTTATGTGGTGTATTCTCGATACCCACTTTATGACATTGATATCCACACTCCCTAATATTTTTAGCTCGAGAGTATTGTAGGTAAGGGAAATGCTAATGTAGGCCAGGCCTACATATACATATGAGCCCAACGGTCCAGATTCAATCTGGACGTATCTGACGGACACGACAACATTTCGTATTTGAATTTTTTAATTCTTTTCAACAAATCCAAATTACGTGAAATTCTAGGCATCTATTCTTCTCATTAAGGCTCATCTAATAAAATATTAAAAACCAATTCACAATATATAAATTAACAAAAATACCTTTGAAAATTTGGTATTTTGATGAATTTATTTATCAAAAAATATTTTTTTTGATATTTTTATTGGATTCTAAATGAACACACATCCAAAATTTCAAGTGTTTTAGATTTATAGAAAAAATTAAAATTAAAATATGAAATAAAATCGTGATTATTGGATCTACCGATTGAACATGAGTTGTTGGGTTATGTGTAGCTATAGGCTCACTGACCCACGTTAGCATTTCCCTTTTAAGTAATTATCAATGCTATATTGAATTTCTATAGAGACAAAAACATTTATTAATTATTATAAGAAATGACATCACCGCACATGAGTTGTCATATTGTGGAATACTACTTGATGCACTTTCTAATAACTAATAAATCGACAATATTATTGTCATCTTCTAAAATAATATTGAAAACTAGGGTAATAAGTTTTAAAAAAAATTTATATAAGGTTGCAACCTTAAAATGTAGAATTAAATATGCACATCAAAGATCCATCGGAATAGGTTGTTTTAATGTTGAAACCCTAATTGATCATCTCGACATCGAGATGTATGAATATGAAAAGAAAAAAAGATTTTGAGTCTCAAAAATAGTGCATCTTGCAATACATTATCTAGGTCATCCATTTTCAAGATTTTCATATGCTTATAGATCTACTTGGTTTTAACCGTTTATGGCGTTTAAAATTTCATAATTATATATGAAAATAGATTTTTCAAATAGTCCTAAAAAAAATTTATACCAAAATTACATGTTATGATAAAATATGGACGTGCACCTTAAATAAATTGTTTAAAATTGCAACCTTACAGAAACCACACCCATAAGTTTTATATAGACTAACTGAAGAAAATAGTCAATAAAAAAAATCTAGTGACCCTCATTTAGCATGCTTCTCTTTAGTTTATTTGGGTTTATTCATAATGCTGCATGTTGCGATCTTGCAACATGCGTGCCTTAATATAACATGTTCATCTCTCTTTCTCTTGTCTCAGTCCCTCTCCTTTTCTCCCCAAGGATCAATAATGCACCACCCATGCTTGTGCATGGGGGAAGTATACCATATCTTTCGGTGTGCAAGATTTTTTATCGGGTCAGCATATATCACCCTCATCATTTTTAAACGCGTGTGTATACTATGCTCCTATGGGAGCGCAATGTAGATTTACTCCCTCGGTCAGAAGACTTATTTGGGAAGATTTTCTTTCAATCTGAAAATTTTGGATGCTACCTAATAACTAGATGATTATTATTAAAAAAAAATGAATTTTGAGTTTTCTAACACCTAGATTTTGCCCTTTAAAAATGGAACAATCTCTACTCAATGTTGAGAAATTATTGAGTAGAGACATTATGTTTTCAACTGCGTACGAGGGTGCAATTAGGATTT